TGGTTGTTGTGGCACCTGATTCTTGTCCCTTGCACTGCTGGTGGAATGGGGCACCCTAGGGGCTGCGGCCTTTGGGGCCCCGGGGTGCGGGCCTGTGGGGCCCCGGGGTGCAGGGACCCTGCGGCCCCCGGGGTGCGGTGTGTGCGGCCCCAGGCTGCAGGGACAATGCGTGGGGCCCCGGGCTGCGGTGGTAACGTGTGCAGCCCCTGGGCTTCGCGCCTGTGGGGCCCCTGGGCTGCGGCGTGTGTGACCCCAGGCTGCAGCGTGTGTGACCCCAGGCTGTGGTGGTAACGTGTGTGACCCCAGGCTGCGGTGAGGGGCCTTGTGTCTGGCACTCACACTTGGGTTCTCTCCTCTTTCCTCAACTCCCTTTCCATCTACAAACTCAGAGTTCTGGTTCCATTGTTCATTCTGTCTGGAAATCCTACGTGTCCACAGGAATGCTCTTACTGATCCTCTCCGGCAGTTCTGGAAGACGAGGTGTAGCCGGGGAGACCCCATGTCAGTCTCCAGCCCAGCCTGGTCCACGCCTCGCAGTGGTGACTCCCAGACGCCCCACACCGCCTGCACGCAGCTCCTGCCCGAGATCCTCCCGCCGCAGCCTCCGATCCCCACAGGCTGTGGGGCAGTGGCCGGAGCCCGCCCTGCATCCCGGGGAGGCGGGGGGGGGGGGCTAAGAATAAAATGTCTGTTTCCCGTCCCCATCCTGAACTAGAGTTTGACCCCAAGGCCTTGTGCTGCTGGTCTCTTACCAAGGAGCCATGCTGCCAGCTGGTTTTTAGTTTCCTCCCTTTTAAACAAAGCAATTGTTTAATCAAAGCAGCAACTGGCCAAGCGTGCTCTTTCTGCGCCTGTGCTGAACTGCAGAGCGCCAGCTGTGATTTTGCAAATCCAGGGGAATCTTTAATCGCCCAGCTGTGCGGCTCTGATGGAGCAGGGCCTCCCACTGTTCGTGGAACTGTGTTGGACAGCCGGAAATATCTCCACGCCGGGAGGGGAGGGGGGCACGCTGGGTGGGAGCGGGTGGGCGGGGGAGTCGGCGTGAAAACGTCTCAGACTCCAGGGACAGAACCTGGGGCGAGGCTACTGGCTGCGGGGAGACGCTCTGCCACGGGCTCCCGGGGGGCCCCGCTCTGCCCATGTGGCCTCACACAGGACCACAGGTGCCACGCAGGACCTGGAATCTGGAGGACGGCCCTGAGAAGAGGAAGGCAGGGCGGGGACAGGGCCGCTGGGACAGGGCCGCTGGTGACAGGGCCGCTGGGACAGGGCCGCTGGTGACAGGGCCGCTGGTGACAGGGCCGCTGGTGACAGGAAGGAAAGCAAGGAGCTGGGTAGGACTGAGGAAGAAGCCGCGGCCGCGGGACCCGGCACTAAGGGACGGGAAGGAGGAAGGGCTGAGCCGGGCTCACGGGGTGCGGGAAAGGCAAGGCCTCCTGGGAAGCCGCCCGGCAGGAAGCGGCAAAGGCCGGGAGTCACGGGCGGCCGAGCGAGTCTGGCGGAGGGGCAGTTGGCCCCGCGCCCGTGGCCAGGTCTGGACTAGCCAGACCTTCCCCGTGGCATCCAGCTGAACCACACATGAGCCTCATCCTGAAGCGGAGTCCTCGGAACACGTTTCTACCACCCAAAAACAGGCTTCCTGGCCCAGTCTGCAGGCCGACGCTGCCCACTGCCCACGTCACTCCGTGGGGGCAGAGGGCGGCACCACTCCAGGCCCACTGCTGGCCGGCCAGCCCCCCCTCCCCCGACGGTGGACGCCGAGACCCGGGACCCTCACGTCCCATCCCCCGGCCAGCCAGCCCCCCCCTCCCCCGACGGTGGACGCCGAGACCCGGGACCCTCATGTCCCATCCCCCGGCCGGCCAGTCCCCCCCTCCCCCGACGGTGGACGCCGAGACCTGGGACCCTCATGTCCCATCCCCCAGCTGGCCAACCCCCCCCTCAACGGTGGACGCCGAGACCCGGGATCCTCACGTCCCATCCCCCGCCCTACCTGGCCCACGCCTTGAGGTCTCTGTGGGACAGGGAGTGTCCTTTTTGAAGGGACACCACAGCTGTGACTCGCTGGCCCCACGTCAGGTCTGGAACTCCGATCACAGCCACATCTGAGGACAGAAGAAGGATATCTGAGGAGTCCCTGGTGTCCTGCCGTGGGGGGGGGGGCAGGTTCCCACAGCGCTCCCTGGTGTCCTGCCATGGGGGGGGCAGGTTCCCACAGCGCTCCCTGGCTCAGCCTCCACGGGCTCCTGGCAGGGGCGAGGGATGGGGCTCAGCCTCCACGCGGCTCTGGGCCTGCCAGGCAGGGGCGAGGGCTGGGGGGCTCAGCCTCCACGTGGCTCTGGGCCTGCCAGGCAGGGGCGAGGGATGGGGCTCAGCCTCCACGCGGCTCTGGGCCTGCCAGGCAGGGGCGAGGGCTGGGGGGCTCAGCCTCCACTCGGCTCTGGGCCTGCCAGGCAGGGGCGAGGGCTGGGGCTCAGCCTCCACGCGGCTCTGGGCCTGCAGGGCAGGGGCGAGGGCTGGCCAGGCCTGCAGGCTGCCTGGGTATGGTGGGCGGGTTTCCATCAGCCCACGCGCCCTGGTTTGGCCCACAGCACTCCAGGTGATGGGCAGGGCAGGGCCCCTGTCCCTTACCGGTGATGCTGGGGTGGGTCAGCAGGTGACGCTCGATCTCTAGGGCACTGACTTTATAGCCTCCGGTCTTGATGATGTCCACTGATGTCCGGCCTCGAATCCAGTACTTGCCATCCTTGAACACAGCGGTGTCCCCTAGAAAATGTGCTTCTGAAACACCTGGACACATTCGGTCCCCAGAGGGTAAACTCTGGGGTCCTGGCAGTAACTATGGGAGTTGTGGAGGGCTGTGTGCACGCATGTGCGTGCACACACACACACACAAACACACACACACACGCACACACAAACACACACGTGCACACACAGACGCATACACACACACGCACACATAAACACACACGCACGCACGCACACACGCATACACACACACGCACGCACATGCACGCACGTGCACACACACATGCGCACACATGCACACACACACATGCACACATACACGCACACACACACATGCACACATACACGCACACACACACACACGCACACGCACGCACATGCACACGCGCACACACGCACACGCACGCACGTGCACACACATGTGCGCACACACGCACACATACACACATGCACACGCACACACACGCACACACACGCACGCACACACACACACAGAGGACCTGTCAAACCCTAGCATCCACGCCCCATTCCTGTGGGGCCCACTCCAGCCCACCCCTTCCCCACACCCCTCCTGCCACTGTGGGCGTCCAGTCCGCCAGGACCACGGTGCGCCAGCTGGGGTCAGAAACATCTCGGACTCAGAAGCCAAGCTAGTCAAAGCCACAGCACCACTGGGATGGGCACAGTGTGGCATTCTCAGAGCAGGCATCAGGCACAAGGTTTGACGGCTTGCCCTGACGCAGGCCCGGCAGGCTGGGTCGGCCCACGGCCGGCCCCTCGTGCTGTGCCCCACATCCATGAAGACACCCCCACCCCGTGCTGGGCAAAAACAAGCCAGCCCAGCACGGGTGGCGCCTACCTGTCATCCTAACCACTCAGGAGGCTGAGACCTGAGGATTGAGGTTCAAAGACAGCCAGGGCAGGAAAGTGAGATTCTTTAATTAACCCCCAAAAGGCCAGAGGTGGAGCTGTGGAAGGGGTGGGAGGGAGAAGGAGGAGGAGGCCAGGGGTGGGAGGGAGGAGGAGGAGGAGGAGGAGGCCAGGGGTGGGAGGGAGGAGGAGGAGGCCAGGGGTGGGAGGGAGGAGGAGGCTCTGCTGGTCCCTAGTGGCAGGCTGTCAAGTAGGGAGTTAAAGGTAAGTCTTTGCTGTGAAATGCATATCAAACAAGTTAAGTAACATTTACTTTTCGTAGCAACGTATTTATGGAAATGCATGGAATGGGCTTCAGCGTCTCCTGCCAGCGCATCTCCACAGCCTGACATGCATTCAGGGCATTTGTTCTGACAGATACAAGGTAGCAATCAATACAATCTTATTACATGGATTTATGCACTGCTTTCAAATACAGGGCTATTTCATGTGTCTGCCTCAGACCATAATTGAAAATAAATCTCTCCAATGCGCAGATTCTAATTTTCTGGATGCATGAGTGGGGGGGGGGTGAAGGCCTTGCCAAGGTAAGCCTACAAGCTGCCGCCTACGGGGGCTGCACCACTGGACAGGGAGCTGCACCGCTGGGCAGGGAGCTGCACCGCTGGGCAGGGGCTGCCGTCCACGGGAGCTGCGCCGCTGGCCACGGGCTGCCGTCCACGGGAGCTGCACTGCTGGCCAGGGGCTGCCGTCCACGGGAACTGCGCCGCTGGCCACAGGCTGCTGTCCACGGGAGCTGCACTGCTGGCCAGAGATGACCCTGGCCTGAGCCAGGCTCTGGCACAATGGCAGGAGCCTGCAGGCACCCCGAGATGCGCCTGATCCTTGAAGCTCTGGGGACTCCAGGCCCACCTCTGAGCCCCTCCTGTCTTGCAGGGGAGAGGATGGAGCTGGTAGGGGAGGCACTGGTGCCCACCAGAAACCTCAGGCTCCCCTGGGGCTCCGCAAGGGCCACCTATCCAGAAGCTGTCCTGAAGGCCAGCGAGAGGGGCTGTTCATGGCAGAGCACAGCTGGCTACCACTGCCTGCTGCCACGATCCCTCCGGGAAGGAACGTTGTCCGAGATCACGCCTGTAATTCTAGCTACTCAGGAGGCTGAGATCTGAGATTTGAAGCCAGCCCGGGCAGAAAAGTCCCAGTTAGACTCTTATCTCCAGTTAACCACTCAAAAACCAGAAGTGGGGCTGTGGCTCAAATGGTAGAGGCTAGCCTTGACCAAAAGCACTGAGGGACAGCGCCCAGGCCTGGAGTTCAAGCTCCACAACCAACCAAAAAAATAGTAAAACAGAGCTGGCAGCTTTGCAGGGTTGTAAATCTCACCAAATCCTGCCTGGGACCGTGCCGGCCTGACCGATCTGCTCTCCCTCTGGAGACAAGAACCAATGGACGCTTTCCTTTCTTTTTTATAAAGAAAGGCATAGAAAGAAGAGTAGCTAGACCTGGAAACTGGAGAGCAGATGACAAGGGGCTCAGAGCTGGACAGAGCCATAAGGGCTGCCCTGCGGGGCAGGTGGGGCAGGACGCGGGGTTTCCCCAAAGGCGGTGATACCCGCCTCCTTCCTCAGGAGGAAGACGGAGCCGCTGGCAGGGGCCTGGCCCGGTCAGCACAGCCAGGCTCCATCCACCAGCCTCAGGGTGGGGGACACAGCGAAGAAAAAGCACCAAGGAGACAGTTAGGCCCCGCTCACTCTGTCCTGCTGTGATGGTGCTGTCGACACCGTTCCAACGATCAGAACTTAAAGGAACTTTCACCAGACTTCTAGCAATCACATAGATTAAAAACGCCAACCGTCTCCCAATACACCATTGATAACCACTTGAAGAACGCAATAGGAAGACACCCACTCTGCACGGGCAATGATGCTAAACCTGATAAAACTATGGGGAATTCGGCAGGCAGTGGAAGGGAGGGTGAGCCAGACGGTGGAGGTGTACTGGAGGCCCCCAGGAACACCCTGGCTGACATGGAGGGGGACAGCCCCCCAGGGTGCCCCATGGCCTCCTGCGTGCCCAGGCCTGCCGGAGGGCAGTGCTGGCCCCTCTGGAGTGCTGTGTCTCTTGCAGTGGGTACGCTGGCATTCGCGGGCCCACCCACCCACGGCAGTTCACTGCAGGGTGAGGCAGGGTCCGCTCCCCAGCCCAGACCTGGGGTCCAGCCCAACCCAGTAGGCTGATGGTATGCTTCCACACAGAGCTGTCACAGATTCAACAAGTCATCCGAGTTCCTACAGAGGATTAGGGGGCAAAGGTTGACGGGTCACGTTTATAAACCCATCTGCTGCCATATGTTGAAGACATGTCTCAGCCTTGGCCAAGAGGGCCAAGGATGCCCTGGCACAGACCAGGGAGGAGCCGCCGAGGCTCCGCTGGCCACGCTGGCCATGCCAACAGGCTTGGCATGGAGCAACGGGGCAGGAAAACCGTAGGGAAGGGCCCGCCACACAGCAGGTGCACCAAAGCAAAGCCCGTGAGCACAGTCTCTCTTGGAGCAAGAGCCAGCCCCCATCGGCTCCTCCCTGCTGGCATGTGGGAGCTGCTCTCTGAGCCACTGCCCTCTGCGGCCAGGAGCCCATGGCTCTCCTTGATGGCTTGTTACTACTAACCATGCATTGTGACGTGTGTACTGATGGACTGCGGTAACCCCTGGCCTTCAGGCCTGGAAAGTTACCCCTCTCCTGAGCCCGGCCTGCGCTTCCACAGGAAAGACTCGTCACTCAAGACTGCCTGCCTAGCCACCTGGCTTGCGGCTCACCGTCTGCCTGCCCGAGCCCCAGGCGCCCGGGATCATCTGGGCAGGCAGACAACACCGGACGTGCTCGGAGCAGGTCTGTGTGGAAGTCAGCGTCTGGGGAGCTGCTGAGGCTTTCAGGGGAGCCGCTCCAGGGACGGGGACCCTTGCAAGCCGTGAGTCTCCTACCATGCTCTCCAGGCAGAGCCGGGCTTCAGGAAAGGGGGCAGAAGAGGCAGAGTGGCGGGCATCAAGGGGTGACCTCTCCAGGGCCTGGGGAGGGGTGGTGGACAGGGTGACCTCTCCAGGGCCTGGGGAGGGGTGGTGGACAGGGTGACCTCTCCAGGGCCTGGGGGAGGGGTGGTGGACAGGGTGACCTCTCCAGGGCCTGGGGAGGGGTGGTGGACAGGGTGACCTCTCCAGGGCCTGGGGGGGGGGAGCTGGTGGACAGGGTGACCTCTCCAGGGCCTGGGGGGGGGAGCTGGTGGACAGGGTGACCTCTCCAGGGCCTGGGGGAGGGGTGGTGGACAGGGTGACCTCTCCAGGGCCTGGGGAGGAGCTGGTGGACAGGGTGACCTCTCCAGGGCCTGGGGAGGAGCTGGTGGACGGGGTGACCTCTCCAGGGCCTGGGGGAGGGGTGGTGGGTGGGGTGACCTCTCCAGGGCCTGGGGGAGGGGTGGTGGGCGGGGTGACCTCTCCAGGGCCTGGGGGAGGGGTGGTGGGCAGGGTGACCTCTCCAGGGCCTGGGGAGGAGCTGGTGGACAGGGTGACCTCTCCAGGGCCTGGGGAGGAGCTGGTGGACAGGGTGACCTCTCCAGGGCCTGGGGGGGAGCTGGTGGACGGGGTGACCTCTCCAGGGCCTGGGGAGGAGCTGGTGGACGGGGTGACCTCTCCAGGGCCTGGGGGAGGGGGAGCTGGTGGACAGGGTGACCTCTCCAGGGCCTGGGGGAGGGGTGGTGGGCAGGGTGACCTCTCCAGGGCCTGGGGGAGGGGTGGTGCACTGGGCTCTCCCAAATGTCAGAACAGAGCTTATGTGACAGCTTATGCCAGAGTCTGTGCGGCAGGAGGGACTGGCCGGGGAAAGGGTTAAGTTTAATTTATCCTGATTTCTACTTAATATCATGCTCTCCCCGTAGGAGCAGCAGCTGCGAGCTGATTGCACACTCTCATTATGCAGTCTGTGTCACTAATGGCCTGTGACAAAGGCTTGCCGGCTTCCAGGCCTTACCCCCGAGAGCCAATTAAACACACACTCCCTTCCTGTGTGCAGCACATTACAATGAAATTAAACTGAATTTCAAAATCACTCTCTCCTGAAGACATCTCTTTACGATAATTAATGCGGCGGGAGCCGTCGGGGCGCCCGCTGCCCACGTGGTGCCCGGCCGCCTGGGGCTCTGGGAGCCAGGCCTGGGCAGAGCCCAGGGTTAGGAGCCTGTGCCTCTCCAGGAAAAGCAGTGGCTTCCTGTCTGAACTTAGACATGGAAGGCGGCGATCACAAAGTAAGCTGGGTCTCGGCGGAGGTGGCCGGGAGCGCGGGTGGGGCCCGAGGGGCACATCCGCACAAAAGCAGCGTCTCTCAAATATGGCATTTGAGGGACAATCTCAGGGCGGAGTGGCTTCTCCCAGAGCTGGCATGGGAGGGGTGTCTTCAGAGGGAGCGCTGGGCGGGTGTGTGGCAGCACTCCTTGGCAGGCCACAGGGACAGGAGCATGTCCCGCGTGCCTGGGGCCCAGCCCCGGGCACCACCAGGCAGCCTGGCACCTGCAGGACATGCCCAGGCCCTGCTTCTGCTCTGGGCACCGGCCAGCACCCCACACAAAGCCTCTGCTCTGGGCACCGGCACCCCACACAAAGCCTCTGCTCTGGGCACCGGCACCCCACACAAAGCCTCTGCTCTGGGC